ATTAAAAAATACTCAACAGATATGCGATGAATTTGTACAATTCTTTACTGACATAGGCGAAAATTTAGCAAGTAATATACAAGCAAATGTACAAAATACTCAGCCTTCAAAAAGAACTTTGAACTCATTTATTTTGGATAAAGTCGAGCTATGTGAAGTATACACCACTGTTATGTCCTTAAAAAATCGGAAAAGTCCTGGGTTCGATGGTATTAAAAGCGAGCATTTGAAAATTATAGCCGAGGACATAACAGAACCACTCACTTACCTAATCAACAAATGCTTTGAATCTGGCATATATCCCTCAATTTTAAAAAAAGGTAATATAATACCGATACATAAATCAGGAACAAAAACAGATGTTAACAACTATAGACCAATATCAATAATATCCAGTGTAGCAAAGGTTTTTGAAAAAGTTTTATCTACTAGAATGATTCGATACTTCACAAAATTCAAAATTTTGTGAAAATCAATATGGATTGACAGAAGGGAAGGCTACATCGGTCGCAATAACTAAAATTGTAAATCAAATATATCAAAATATTGATAACAGAATCCCTTCAATCTGCATTTTTGTTGATTTAAAGAAAGCTTTCGACACAGTTAGTCACAAATTATTATTAGAAGCATTGGAGAGAATCGGTTTCAGAGGAAACGCGTACTCACTGATCGAAAGTTATTTGTCAAATCGCCCACAATCTGTGCAGATATCAGGATATATTTAAATGATATTTTCCAAATTAATTGTGTTGGCAAAATAACTAGTTTTGCACATGATACTGCAATATTATATGAAGGCACTGACTGGTCTGATCTGAAAAATGTAATTGAAAATGATTTTATCAAAATTATTCGGTGGTTTAACAGTAGAAAATTAAGCATTAACTACTCTAAAACACATTTTTTACCATTTGGATCTTATGCTAGACATCTGCCAAATTACACAAATTTCTCCTTCAATATTAATGATCAAAAAATGCAAATTAATAGAGTGCCCAACATAAAATACCTTGGAGTGGTCTTGGATCCTCACTTACGATGGGACATCCATGTCAATTATATTTTAAAGAAAGTTAGATTTGTATCCTTCAAAATTAAATACCTTGGGAATATACCTATCGACAGAAAAATATCTTCAAACATTATACCATGCACTGATTGAGCCTCATCTCACATATGGTATATTAGCATGGGGAGCTGCATGTTCCTCACATATCTATAATTTAGATATTTTTCAAAAAAGTATTCTAAAAATTATATTTAAAAAACCGAAACTTTATCCCACTGAAGAATTATATGCAGATGTTCGAATGTATGATATAAGACAGCTTTATTTCTTACACAGTATCACTCACTACCATAAATTTGTAAACACCGACCAAAAAATTAAACATAATCATTATACCAGGTACAAAATTCGTGGCACAGTAGTTCCTCAACCGCATAAATCTATAATGCAGCGATCATATCTCTATTTAGCGCCTAAATTTTATGAAATTATACCTAAAGACTTAAAAGATTTACGTTTCGGAAATTGTTTCAAAAGAAATTTAAAAAAGTGGCTACATTCTATATCTAGGACTGAAATTCATAAACTCATAAATACGAACATCAACTAAATACATAATCTACTGTAGCTAATTTTTGTCCTTTTTTGTCATTTGCATTCTACAGTTTCAACTTAAATTACTGGTCCATGTACAGGCGATGCCTTCTATTGGGCCTGTTTTGATTTTATATTTATTTACTCATATTGTTTGTTATCTATAAAAATAAATATTATTATTATTATTATTATTATTATTATTATTATCCAGGCAGATATATGAAAGATCCTAACACCACCTGTAAGGTAGTAACAAAATACAAAGATGAATTCGGTATTTCGGACCACAAACCCGTATTTTTTCATTTTGACATTCCATCTTATAAAAGAAAACAAAAATTTATCACAATCAGGGATTTTAAACATTTCAGTGAGGATGATTTTCTTATCGATCATTCTACATCGGGCATAGATGAATTATTTACGAAATCTAATATTGATGAGAAGGTAATGCACATTACAAGCGTTATCGTGGATACCTATAATAAACATGCACCTTTTAAAACTGTAAGAGTTAATAAGCCACCATCACTTTGGTTAACAAATGAACTGCGCACTGTTCTTGATGAAAAGAATACTGCACAAGCTTTATATAAAACTAATAAGACCGTGGACGCCTATAATAACTTCAAATCGCTTAGAAACCGTGCTCTTAAGATGATCAGGAGCGACAAAAAGACATATATCGAAAATTTGGCAAATGAAAATGATTCAAAAAAATTGTGGAAGACTCTCAAACAACTTGATATAAATTTTCGTAGTAAACCAACCCTTCCGGCAAGTTTTAATGACCCTACCAAAATTTATGTCTGTTTATAGCTATAAACCTGTTGATTCACTAGTTTGCGAAAACTATTTCAAAAATAAATTAAGCTCTGAATATATTTTTTCATTGAATAAGATTAGTTCAAATGACGTATTACAGGCAATAGGGAGCCTAAAATCTGATGCGAAGGGAATTGATGGTATATCCCTGTCAATGATCCAGCTTTGCCTGCCAGTTATTCTCCATCACATCGTCCACATCTTTAACGACTGTTTGGAAAAAAGCTACTTTCCTAACACATGGAAACAAGCTTTAATTATTCCAATTCCTAAAAAAATGAAACCCACTGAGTATAATGATCTCAGACCTATCAGTTTATTACCAATTTTATCCAAAATTTTAGAAAAAATTATAAAGTTCCAATTGACCGCTTACCTAGAAAAATTCTTTATACTTCCCGACACTCAATCCGGTTTCAGAAAAAATTATAGTACAACATCTGCCCTACTTAATCTGCAAGACGATATTTTAAGTGCTTTAGATAAGAAAATGGCACTAGCCTTAATCTCTATAGACTATTCGAAAGCCTTTGACAGCATCAATCATAAACTATTAATTGCTAAATTAAATTACATGGGTCTTGACAGTGTATCCCTTTCATTTTTCGACAGTTACCTTCATCAAAGAACTCAGTGAGTTTTTCGCAATCAAGAAATGTCTCAAGTGACAATAATTTCATCAGGGGTACCTCAGGGCTCTGTATTGGGGCCGCTTCTGTTCCTCATATATACGTTCGACTTAAGCAAAAGTATTGATAATTCTCATATCCAGTCATTTGCAGACGATACGCAATTGCTCCATTATTTTAACCCAGATAATGTCAATAATACTACTCAAATTTTACAAAACGATGTTAATAAATTAATTAAATACTCTTTAGATCACAATCTACTTATTAATCCACAAAAATCTAAAATGTTATTATTTTGCGCACAAAGAAAAACATACAATGTAACACAGCTCTTGAACATTCAGATAAGTAACCAAAGTTTGCAATTTTCTGATTCTGCAAAAATTCTTGGTGTTGTCTTTGATACAAAATTAAGGTTTATTGAACATAAAAGTCTATCCCAGAAAACCTACCTACGGCTGCGTACTCTTATAGCAAACAGGTATTTACTAAATTTTAAGTTGCGTAAAAAACTATGTGAAGCTTTGGTCATATCTATACTAAATTACTGTAATATCGTATACTATACTTGTTTAGACAATTTCACTAAAAACGTTATTCAAGTTATTCAAAACAATTGTATACGTTTCATCTTTGGCTTACGTGAATTTGATCATGTATCGGCGAAATATCCCGTTCTAAACTGGTTAAAAATTGACAATGACATGGTCAAGTATCACTATTCAGTTTTTGTTCACAAATAGCTGCTCACGTCTAAACCTTATTATATAAAAATAATATTAGAATACCCCTGCATACGTCTACACTTTTTAAACACAGTTTTTCTTACAATGTTACTATTATTTATAATGACCTTCCTAAAGTATGTAAAGAATTTTCATTACCTGTCTTTCGACAAAAATTTAAAACATTATTACTCAACCCTCCAAACATATAATTTACGTAATCATTCATTTCTTTTTTATTTCATCTTTAATTCAGATTAATAATTTTTTGGTGCATTTGGGTTTGGAAAGTATGCCTTTTTCTCTTTTTTTAAATTTTACTTTCGATGTAATGAACCAAATCTTTTTGTGGATAGTGTATTCTTTTGAACATCTGCTAGAGACTATATGGTTAAGTGTAAGAGTAGCAGCATGCTAAACTTCGCCATATAAGTCTGACATTTGGCTATACTACAATGTAATTGTGGATAAATAAAGACGTCTATTATTATTATTAATTCAGAAACCTACTGTCAGTATCTACTTATTAGTACTGTACAGGTCTACCTTTCTGTTATTTTTTAAAAAATCACAATAATGAGTTTTTCAACAGACCCATTTTCTCTCGTTTGCTTTTCGAATTTGTTTCCAAGCGATTCGACCTATACAGTACCAATGATTGCTGAAAAGCATTGAACAGTCTCAGAGAACGTCACTGCAAAGTACTAAAATGTTTACGTAAGCATGAGACGGGAGGGTAAGAGATTTGCTTACTTTTGCCGATATGGACGAGAGGAGTTAATGCGCTTACGGCGGAAGTTAAGCGGGTCTGCTTGGCAGGCACATCGCGCGACGGCATCATGAAAGAGATCTCTGAGGAGCAAAGCTCATTGGTAGTGCGGCAGAAGAAAGCTAGATCACCGACGTCTCGACGGTGCGAAAGGATTCCGAGAGAAGAGTCATTTACGAACAAAATCGATATTTTTGCCAAGTCTCACAGTGTGGCGCCCAATGGACAAAATTACTCAAAAACATAATTTTTGACATTAGAATTCTGTTGCTTTTCTTATACCATTGGATAGATAAATGGCCACTGCAACACGTAAGTATAGTACTTTAATCAAGTTGGATGCGATTTACCTATTTTAGCAACTTTAAAGTTAGACATGTCGAGACCTGTCAAGAAGGCGAAAAATCTCTCTGTTTGATTGCTCGGGAAAGATATAAATTTTGTGTCGAAATATTTAAATATTTAACTTTTCCAATATGGCTGGTAATGAGGCTGGTAAGTACATTATATTGATGTATAGATTTATTTAAAATATAATTATAATTAGATAGTTTTTTAAGTTAAAGTGACTATTACCGATTTTTTTATTTTTTTTTTAAACTTTTGACTTTGTTTAGAGTTTTACAAAAATCACCTCCCATCACCCTAAAAATTTTTTTATTTATTGTTTATCTGTCCATAGTAAGTTTTGATAAAAAGTTTAAATCACGTCATGCCACGTCTAAGGGAGATATAATTTTGTTTAGGACATGGTGCTATTGTCAGAAATAGAGATTTGATTGATGTGTGGATAGAAGCACCGACAGGAAATAGAAAACAGGTGGTTTATGAAAAGATATTATCTCTTATTGATATAACAGATAAACCTTCCAAACATCTTAAAAGTAATATTATGAAATGCAGCCAGTTGTTTGGGTTGAAAATCGCAAACAAATGGCAGAAAGTAGGACAATCTCGGAATCGACTTTTACAAAATCAGGTATATTGGTTCGACAAGATTATATATAGAATAAATAATGATTCTGAAGAAAACACTTCTTCGGATGAGGAACAAGAACCTCCTTGTCGCTCAGTTGGACGGCCACGGGTGCCATTTGAAGAGGCATCGAAGAAAACAAAACGAAGACGTGTAGCCGAACTAACCACAGACAGATCTGCAAATAAACTTCAATTTGCTGTAAATGTCGTTTCTGGAAGCAATCACAGTGAGGCCTCGCCACAAATTTTTAGTTTTAGTACAGCTGAAGCTTTAGCCCTTATGGTAGATTTGGATATATCCGTAAGAAAGTATTTGCTACTTAGGTCTGTTATTAATGGTAAGGCCCAGAACTGCCTTCCTAGGTATAAAGAATTACAGAAAACAAAAAATGCTATCCTCCCTTCACAATTTATTATCACTGAAATTTCTGCAGAAGTTGATTTGCAAGAACTTCTACAGAAAACAGCTGAAAGTATCCTTGAAATAATAAATTTTGAAGAGAGAGAATGCCGGATTAAAGTTATATGCAAGTGGGGATTTGATGGCAGTTCTGGGCATAGCCAATATAAGCAGAAATTTTCTGATTTAGAAAACACCGACGAATTTCTGTTTCTTGTAGCAATGACGCCACTCAGATTAATTGATATGGAAACGAATAAGGTATTGTGAAAAAATGAGAGCCCTTCATCTACTTTATATTGTAGGCCGATCAAGTTTTTATTTAAAAAGGAAAATGCTGATTTAGTGCGGAATACGGAAAAGGAAATAATAACAAAAATTGAAAATTCTTATATAATTGGAGTTGATATGATGTTAACAATGTTGGACGGCAGTGTTGGAAACGTTCTATCAGAAACAAATTCAACTATGAAGTGCATCATTTGCGGAGCCACACCCAAGGACATGAACACGTTAGCAGGGATTAACCGTCCTCCTAACGTAGACAATTACCGGTTTGGTTTGTCAACTTTACACTGCTGGATTCGTTTTTTTGAATGCTTACTCCATATTGGATACCGCCTGCCAATTAAATCTTGGCAGGTTCGTGGGCCTGAAAACAAAGCTATAGTCGAAGCAAACAAAAAACGAATCCAAGCAAAGTTCAGAGCCAAGCTGTCTCTAATAGTTGACAAACCAAAACCGGGGTATGGCTCCTCAAATGATGGCAATACGGCCAGAATTTTTTTCCACAATCCACAAACAAGTTCAGATATCACAGGGGTTGACAGGGAATTAATCGAGAAATTTGCGATCATCTTAGGAGTGTTAGCTAGTGGTTGCGCTATTGATATGGAAAAGTTTGCGTCATTGCTGGAAGAAGCAAGAAATTTGTATATCCACCTTTATAAGTGGTACAACATGCCAAACACAGTACATAAGGTGCTTGTTCATGGGTGTGAGATAATTGATGCATTTTGTTTGCCCATTGGAGAACTGTCGGAGGATGCGCTTGAGGCTCACCATACAGAGGTTAGGAAACATCGATTATCTCACACCAGAAAATGTTCAAGAACAGATACGAATAAGGATCTCATGCGTGTTCTTTTACTTACTTCTGATCCTTTTATATCCTCAAAAAGAAAGATGAGCTCAAAAAAATATAAGAAATGCAACGAGGCAGTTCAGAACTATTTAAAAAAGCAAGAAAATGATGATTTAGGTATTGACTTAGGTACAATAACGAATGACACAGCACCGAGCAAGAAATCCTATTCCGATTAGAATGGGTATATTTGGTGTTATTTTTTTAATATAGTTTATATTATTATTTCATACATTACCTACTAAGTAATTGTTATTTTGTTAAATATATTTTTTTAAATATATTTTTTAAATAAAAACCTAAATATCAATTTCAAATTATACAAATTTATTTTTTATTTGAATTATTCTTATTATTTTTTCAAATAGATAGACAAATTTAATAAATCATATTGCGCCCGCCACAAGTTGTCTACATTATCTTTTAAATCATTCGGTAAAGATCTTGAAAAATAAAAGCGTGACTTTTTTGTCTCTCTTAAGAATGCTATAATAATCTCCTACCTTATCCCAATTTATTCGAGATCATCATCTTAATATTTTGACTTTTACAAAAAAAAACGATTTATGCGAAATGCATCCCGCCTGCTCCCCCACCCCTTCTTATTATTTTAAATAATTTTTGTCATACTTTAGAAAGCTACTTAAATAAGTAATCGGCCTGCGTTTACAGAATTCAAATAGGACCACTAGATTTTAAGATTCGAATTATGTCGCTGATCCCTACAAAGGAACACACTGTGCGCCTAGTGGTATCGAGGATTTTGATCGGACAGCTCCTGTCTAAAGACAAAGTACGACCTTCTTTTCTTGTTGCGTCTGCCGAACTGGAAGCATCAAAATATTCAAATTCGGAAACTGGCTTTCACCGTTAAAAAGTCGGTTGGCGCATCTGCAGACGACCAGCAGCTTGCAAGACGTGTAGAGGGGACGGGGTAAGCTAAAACAAGCAGTACCTGACTCATCGGAATAAGGAAGACAGCACCATGCAGTGGTACCTGCCGTAGGACAGAGACAAAGGACGCTACACGCACCAGGCCATATGGTGGACAGTGGTGGAGGTTATGAAGAACGCGGTACCCTAACGGTGGAATCATAATCAGAATTCGTAATTTTCGGAGTCTTACACTTTGGGCCTTATCGTCCGTCAAGCTTTCTCACCTGAGAGCGGATATCAAAACTTTTTCTTGATTCAAAATATGCAAGGAATACCTACTAGCAGAAGAAAATAGCTAATTCTTGATCTATAAAAATGTGTGAAAGCTATTTGGCAGTGCAATCTGATGTCTAAGACAAATTTCCTGTAACAGTTGCTCTATGTCAGTGATGACAAATATCAAGAGTGACGTCATAATAATTGTAATTTCCCCAGTCATGTGTACCAGACATGTATATAATAATAATATTAATAATAATAAACGGCTTTATTGGCGAAGTTTAACACAGCTATTTTTACACTCAACCTTTCTAAAGACTAAAGCTTAATGCTAATTTGACATACAAATATGGTATTTTACATATACAGCAAACTATTGTGTGTCTATGAATCTAACTAAAAGAACATAATGGTAATTGATCACAGGGCATCTATTCATTGATCCTATTCTGAATCCCTAGAAGATGTTGTCTGAGATGCAGTTTGAAACGGATGTTATTAGTATTTGATATATCGATATTCCTGCTATGGATATTAAAGAGAGACACTGCATTGTACGTCAAAGATCTATAAAAGAGTGATGTTACATACATAGGCATTGTAAAATGGTTTTGATGTCTTAAATTGACATTATGTATACTTAACCTAGGGACCAGCTTTTCTACTAAATATACAGGATTCTTAGAATATAATACACGATTCAATGTTGTTAGGTAAAAATATTTGAACAGAGAATTGATATCACTGGACAACAAATTTTAGTTTTTTAATTGTATCTTGTGGGAAAAGTGCACTTCTTTGTTAATTTTGGGGCGCTGAATCCAAAAATGACAATGAAATAAAAAAATTAGTTGCGGTTTAGAAAAAAAACTTTTTATTTTTAAGGATATATTAAAAAAAGTAACAAGAATCATATACTTATAAGAATCACTATATGCGCTGTCTTTTTGCTGTTCTTTTATGGATCGTTTCTGGAGCATCTCTACCAAGAGTCCAACAGTAGTCTGCAAGCATGGAAGGATTCCACTTTCCCGGGTACCTTTTTTCCATTGTTGAAATATGCTGATGAAAACGTTCGCCGTGCACTTAAGAGACATATTACAGCCCATCTTTTGATACGATGACAGCATATTTTTGACAAGGGTTTTATAGTTGTCAGCTTTTCTATTTCCCAAGAAATTAGTGACCACCAGACGGAAATCATTCCAAGCAGTTTTTTCCATACCTGTTAAAGTGTTTTCAAACTGTGTATCTTTCAAAATATTTCGAATCTGTGGCCCAACAAAAATACCTTCTTTAACCTTTGCCTCACTCAGTCTTGGAAATTTCTGACGCAGGTATTGAAAAGCTGACCCATCTCTATCTAATGCCTTGACAAAGTTTTTCATTAGACCCAACTTGATATGCAGTGGTGGTAATAAAATTTTTTTCGAATCTACTAATGGCATATGCTGTACATTTTTTTGACCTGGCTCTAGGAATTGACGAACAGGCCAGTTTTGTCTGGTGTAATGAAGTGCCTTTGCCCGACTGTCCCATTCACACAAAAAACAGCAAAACTTTGTGTAGCCTAGCTGCAGCCCAAGTAAAAGTGCAACAACTTTCAAATCGCCACAAATATGCCATTGGTACTCATCGTATTTTATGCATGTCAGGTACTTCATATTGTCATATGATTCTTTCATGTGAACTGCATACCCTACAGGAAGAGATGGTAAAATATTTCCAATATGCAATAACACTGCCTTTAAACTCAATGTTGAACTGTCTATAAACAATCTCCATTCTTCTGGGTTATAGTTTATATTTAAAGCCGCCAGTAAGCCGTTAATGTTACTGCAGAAAACCAAGTTATTCTCCATATTGAAAAATGGTTCTAAGTCTTTGTGGCGTTTACGAAAAACACATACCGAAACATCGTCTTCTAACAAGTTCCACTGCTGCAGTCTTGATCCAAGTAACTCTGCCTTACATTTTGGAAGTTCTAAATCTCTTACAAGATCATTTAATTCTGACTGTGTTATTTTGTGCGGTTGGTGGCATGACGTGCTCGGTATAAAATCAGGGTCTCTTGACGTTGATGGCATATCTTCTTCCTGACGAATAACTCGATCGCCATGATCTCATTCGTTTTCTGATTCGCAAGTGTAGGATTCTGGGGGTTTTGGAATAGGATTTTCGTCACTGTGAGGCACAGGTCTCATCGCAGATGGTATGTTTGGGTAGTTAATAACCGATTTTTTTTTCTTGGACATACCTGTGGCTTGTCCAACACAAGGTACCATGCAAAAGTAACAATCATTAATATGATTAGTAGGCTCTCTCCAAACCATTGGGACAGCAAAGCGCATAGACCGTTTTTTTGCCATTTAACCAGCTCCTCAGACTTGAAGCACATGTATTACAGCAAATGTGGGGTGCCCACTGTTTGTCTTGATCACCTAGTTTACAACCGAAATAAAGCTGATATGTCTTTGTTATTAGCGGAGTAATAGACCGTCTCTGAGACGCAAAAGTCACATCACCACACACGTAACAAAACTGATCTGGATTGTTTACACACTTTCGAGACATCTTGCATGAACGCTGTCAGCCAACTGAGGAAAAATGGCTAATATAAAACAATATAATGTACACGTATGTATAACGTAACACAATCATGCCGATTACATCATCTTTCCTTGCCGAATATAAAAATGTAGCACGTGCATTCTTGTGAATTACAGTATATTAACACTGTCACAGCAGGAACACATATAATTACCGTATCTCTAAAACTTGAACTAATATTGAAAAAATAAGTTTCATTCCGGTTTTAGCACATTAAAAATAGTAATATTTTGTGATTTTATTTAGGATATTTTTTGGCTGTTGATCAGTGTATTAAGCCATTGTAAGAGTCTGAAACTGTGGCCAAATGACGTAAGTTTCAGACATTTGAGTCAAATCGTTCAGGCATGGATAAAAAACTATCGAACCATAACTGTATGATGGCAATAAACTTTCAGCCAGCTTTTTCCTCGTCTTGAAGTTAATAATGTACTTATTGGCATACAGAATTCGCAGTTTCAAATAACACCTCTGAGATATTGTTTTACTGTACTGTTGGTAACGTAACTTGTCATCTATGATCAAACCAAGTACCTTACAGTTAGTTGAAAAATAAAGTTGTTGTTCATTCAAGAAGACTCAACTCAACACTGCTCAAGTTTTCTCGCTTGTGATCAGAACAGAAAAGCACAAGTCTCGTTTTATCAGGATTTAGTTTCAAATTGTGTTTACAATTGTCAGAAACTGTTCGTCAGTCAGTGTTGATTAAATCTTTTGCATGTTCCGCAAGAGATGATTCAAAATGAAACAGAAGCTTCGTGTCATCAGCATAAGATTGAAGGTGTGAGTACTGTACGAATTTCAAGATATCAGCTGTGTATATAATGAATAACGACGGTCCTAGAACAGAACCTTGAGGAACTTCTGATGTTATTGTTGTTATCTCAGATCTTTTGTTATGTAGAATAACGCTTTGCTTACGAAGACTTAAGTAATCGCAAAATAAGTTCTACGCTGTATGGTCAAGGCCATAATGATACAGTTTTGCGCACATAAGCGAATG